CGATGGCCAACACTCACTTTCTTCCCATGTCAGTTCCTGGAAAGACTAAGAGAATCAACTATATTTTAAGGACCTGGAAGAAATTAAACAACATACAGTCCACTCCTGTTCCTTCTTTAATTTTCTGCCCTCTGAAAGAGATTATACCCAGAAAAATTTCAAATGAAATAAGTAAATTATAAACTTATTATGCATGATATTAAATGTTTTGATTATCCTAAGGTAGCAGGATAAAATCAAATTCCTTAGCATTGACAAAGTTTTTTTTCATCTAAGACATATTTAATTTTCTACTTCATGTTATGAAGCAGACTTACCATCCCTAACTTTACCATCTCAGAGCATGGTGTATGCGGCTCTGTTATGTTATTAATAAATTGTACTAAATTTTTCTAACTTTTTCACTGTAAAGAAATCTTAAAATAAGAGTGAACATTTATTCACGTTGTCGTTTGCCATTAGTGACTGCCTAGGACATTGTAAACATAATGCTCACTTAGAGTGAATAGTAAATATCCTGCTATGGCTAAATTATAATGCTTATTTTGCTCCCACGTCTCCCTAGTCAAAGATTTCTCATCTCTCCTACCACATGCACCACCTGTGCCCTCACACACGTATAAACACACATACACATACAGCAGGAGGGAGCAAGAGAGAATCTTTTTCTCTCATGAAATCTAACTTCGAACAAATCCAAATAAATTTTAAAAAGGACCATCCACCTTGTTGCCAATATTCTCTTTAAGTGAATTATATTATATCTGATAGCACCATAGAATTCAAAAATAAATATTAGTGTATATAAATTGGTATTTTAAAAAATAAATTATGCCTCTTTGAAGACAAAAGACATGAAAACAGAAACCAGGAAATAAAGCATATAACTAAAAGCTTGCTAAGACTTTAAAAATCACTTGTAGGTTATACACAAGTATGGTGACAACTTGGTTTAATTATCTGTCTAAATCTGAGTTTTACCTCCAGAAGAAAGATCACACAATACATAGTCAAGCGTGTGTGTATATTTACTACATATGTATAACTATGTAGTAAATATACATCCAATACAACTGTGGTTATTTATGTATTTAAAAATCAAAGACTAATAGTTACCAAGATAATTGAAGCAAATGATATAGTCTCATAATTATGCAAAGTGTCTCTACATTTTGTTCTATTAGAGATAGACAAAGCTTAGAGAAACTCGTTCAAAACTTTGACTCATTGCTAGTTAACTTTGAGCCTATTTCTTTTATATTCTTCTGTGTCTTAAAGTATAAAATTCAATGAATAATAGTATTAATAACAGGATTTATGAATATTAAATAACAAATTATGCAAACTATCTAACACAAACTGATATATATAGTAAACCTGAAAATTGTTTTACTGGTTTTAGATAATGATTAAATATAATAAATTCTAGAATAGTTTTGTACCAAAGAATTAAAAACAAATTATAAAATTTAAATAATAATCCTTTACACGACTTTTCTTTTCTCAGATTTATTTCAAGATACTGGACCTTGGTAATGTGCAAATTGATCTGCACTCACTGGATAAGAGTTTAGTACAAAAGTTAAAGGTGAGGTCCTTAGAACTGATGGATTTTTACTGAGCTGAATGATTTCCTGTTTGAGTACTAATATGTCTTATTCTTCTTATGGAATCCTCTTACTTGTCTCTTTTTTTCTTTATTCCCAAGTTTCATCAACAGATAATGACTGTAGAGATTTACAATGTAGATATATTTGCCTAAAGACGGAGAAAGAGGCTCAGTGTCATTTTAATGATACTTAGTAAAAATACTTGAGCTTCAGAGTTGAAGAAGTTAACCGATTTGTCACATATGGCATGTTATTTCAGAGTGAGAACCAAAGGCCCACCCAGCAGCTCACCACAGAGAAACTGTTTCCAGTTACATGGGGTTGAGAAGCCACAGCTGCAGCCAACAAGTTTTTTGCAGCTCTTACCTGAGGTTTTTACACTTTGCTTAAGTCTCATGTGTGAGACTTATTAATTAGAAGAAACATATATTAAAGGCTGAAATTTTTAAAATTTTAAAATAAATCGCATGTTTTCTCCAATCTGGTGTTTTTTTTAAACCTCTCCCTACCCTAAACAAACTGAGAATGCAAATGTTTTATCCAAAATGTGCCTTACCAATTAGATTACCATTATTTGAACACTTCTTTTTCTGTGCAGACATCTCACTTTATAAAATAGTTGCTAGGCAGAGTCAAGTGCTTAGAAATATCTAAGTATATCCCAAACTTTCACACTGTTTTGTTTCTTTCACTTGAGTCGGACTAAGCTATTCTTGAACGAGAAACAGAATCAGTTGTTGTTTTGGTTTTATTTCTTGTTTATCTGTTTATTTCTTTTGATGGAAAGCAGTTCTCTTGTACTTTTCATGCAAGAAAAGGAAACGATTCTTGTGTAGTGCTTCTGATCAATATCCATGAATGAATTTGTAACTGTCAGTTAAAATTGCAAATGCTATCATATTTGTAAAACCAGCAATGCAATATCCAAAGATACTGGGTCACATATCAGAGAACGAATTAGAACAATGTGTTGATTAAGAACTGAAAATCAGCATCTTTACCAATGACAAACATTTCCTTACTTGATTGAGTTACAAGGCGATTATCTCTATATCTTAGAGAAGGCCAGAGCAAGACCGTTAAAGCACAGTTCTAGTCAGCTCTTAGGAAAAATCCATTGGTGGAACTGAATACCAATAAGAAACTGGCTATTTAATTTAAAATAATGTCAGGATCTTTAAATCTAGGATGAAAATATTCAGAAGTTGGAGAAATTTCAATGCTTTCCTAATGCTAGGTATATGTGTATGATCTTCATAGTAAAGAAAGTATTGCACAAAAGAGAATTTCTGGTATATTAATAAATTTCTGCATCAGTAAAATAGTGAAATGCCAAAATACTTCACTATGATTAAATATACTGATATACTTAACGTATACTCATATACCTGATGAAACATTTACATTAAGCACTAGAATAGGCATGTAATCTGTGCTCAGTAAATGTTAAAATTCTCCCCTACTAAACCAATTCATTAAAATGAAAATCAGTAAACACAAGAAAAGTTTCAGTCATATATTTTGTCTTTCTTAAAAAACCATACTTCATAGTAACAAAATAATTGGTAGTAATTATTTCCAAGAATATAAAAACATAGATTATGTAACGGTGGTTATAAGAATTTAGAAATGTATATAATTGTATATACATGCACACACACATATACACACACACTCAAGCAAATGAGTGCTTGTAAGACTGGTAAAATCTGAATGAAGTCTATGAATTATACTAATGTCAATATCTTGGTTTTGACATTGTACTCTCGAGTGTGTCATGACTGAGGAAAACTGAGAGACGGGCACAAGGGAATTGCCTGTATTGTATTATTTTCTCAACTTTTTGTCGATCTACATTTATTTCAAAATAAAAGATGAAGAAAGAGTTAACAAGAAAATCAATTAAATGTATCAGTATATATTTTATCTCATTGCAATGAATATTACACAAATAAATTTTAAATCACTTCTATTGTTATTGATTAAATTTATGTGTCTCTACTTGTAAAGATCAAAAAATTATTTAATTTTTTTTTCTAATTTTACTGTATTTTATTTTGAACCTCTTGTTTTGAAACTACGGTCACACAGTGATTACTTCCAGATTTTTTCTATAGAAACATGATCTATGCCCTGGTCACTTTAATTCAGCACTTTTTACTTTTTCTCTTGTATGTTTTTGCTTATGCTTTTCAGTAAAAGAGTCACTCACTTGTCCTTTTTTTTTCTGATAAATCCAGAAAACACTTTCCCTAATTATTGTATCATGTATTTTAAAATTCACTTTTATAATAGTTACACAGATATCTTCAGAAACTTGGATATTTTTTATTTTGCATCTATTGTATACATCAAGCACTAAAAACTGCAACCAAGTTACATATGGCTTGATTTCACCATGTTACCACACGATGGGCCACCTTCGTTTATTTCTTAAAGTATAAGGATAGTTGTGACTATCAAATGAAAACCATTTTTACTCTTAAATAAAGTGACATGTAGGAGAAATGAATTTCAGTTATAGGATGATAAATGTATATTAGAAAATGCCAACTTTAAGACATTTGAAGTTTAAAATAAGTTACAAATTGTGCTTTTTGGAGTTTCATCCTTTTACTCAATTCTCTCTTTTTTTTCGAAAGCAAAACATGCATATGCTTTAAAAGTCAATGATACAGAAGGACTTATGAAAATGAACAATTATTTTTTCTATTTGTTCTCACTGGTCTTGTTCCAAGGGGCAATCGTTTTTCATTCTGGTGTTTCTACTTTTTATCAGCTTTCTTGTAAGTGTATAGACATGTTTTATTACTTTCTAGTTGATGATGAATCTTGGATATTTTTGTCTAACCAAAACAAGGTTCAGAAATATTCTTTTCTACCTGACCATTAGAATTGCATTTTGATTTTTAATTAATTTGTTGTTGTTATTATTTTTATTTTTATTTTGCCAAGTGCTTACGAATATGATTGGATTTTGCAGGAAACATATATCTGAAGGCATTAAATAGGATGGATGCTATCTCCTTCAAAATGAAATTATCTCATGCTAATAATAATATAGTTGCCTTCCAATGTTTACTCATTTCCCATAATAACTCAAGATATTTAAAAAGTGAAGTGATGACTTGAGTGGTAGATGTCAGTCACCCAATGCATTCTGTCTGCTCACAGAATGTTTCCTTCCTATCAGTAGCACTCAGTCCTGCCCCTTATACCTCTCTCTCTCTCTCTCTCTTTCTCTCTCTCTCTCTTTCTCTCTTTTAATCTTCCTGCCACCTCTACCACTACACCACTAGTTTATCCTCAACCTTTCTGCCACCTCTACCACTACACCACTAGTTTATCCTCTTTTCTGTCATGTCAGGGGAGTTCTTTGTAGTCTCAGGAATGGGGAACACCTTTTTACCCATTTCTTTATTCGAAGCATGCATCCTCAAAGAGTCCCTGCATATTAGAGAGGCAAAAGGGGCTGGGATATTGATATATCAAATCTTGCAATTTGTTGGTGTGAAGACAGCAAAGTTTTCAGGAGATCTAAGTGAAGAAGCTCCAGACAGAAACATGTAGGAAAGGGAGTGTTAATACAAAACAGAAGGCAGAATGTAATAAAGGCTGTCCTTTGAATGTAGCTACTAGAGGAGGAGACTAGAGTTTAATGTTGTTGAGTGATTCTGGGAAATGAGACAAACCCCAGTGTTCAGAACTGCCTTATGTTAGGGCTGAGGTTGCTGGATCACACCAAATTCTGAGATTTGTTTGTTGTGGCCCATTCAGGTGAGAATTTCTTAGCACTTCAGACTACCATGTGTGAGAGAAGCAAGGCTTTCAAAAGTTCTAGGAGAAAAAAGTCTGCTAATATAGATATGGGCTGGGTTGAGTTCACCAAATAATTAGAGGGATGTGATGGGACAATGATAGCCTCTATTCCAAGTGGAGATAAGTGACAGGGACACTGGCACAAGAACAATTCTACTGCATATTTACAAGAAGGAATCAAAGAATCAACCAGGGTTGGCAGTTCAGAAAGAATAAGAGGAGGGGTTAAAAAGTATATATATATGTGTATATATATATACACATACACACACACATATATATATATATATATATATATATATATATATATATATATAGTGTGTCCATTATCTTATTAGTGACTTGAGCTTAGAGTTCTTGAATTGAACACATATTTAATGGATTTTTACTTCCGAGTCAGTGAACTAAGAGTAAAAAAAAAAGAACCAGTGATTAATACAAATCTCACCAAGCATGTTTCTGAAAACAAAATAACTTCCAAATGAAGGTTGTCCTGTCAGTGTGAGAAGGGTAGTAATAATACTTATTATATATTTTTTCATAAATTTGTATCATCTCAAAGCTAAAGCTGAAAGCAGAATCACAAACTTCTACTTAGTTAAGGCAATTTTACATGGGGCATACAATGAGCAAAATTAGGTTGTTTTTGCTAGTTCAGCTTCGTCCAACATTAAAACTGGAAAAGAATAAACTTCAAGTGGGCAAAGGATTGTTTATACACTCCCTCTGTCAATCTGGATTTGCATAAAGTTGAGATAAATGAATTTTCATGTTTACTATCTCAGGTAAGGGTTTAAGTTTTAGCAATTTCAGTGGTTCAGTGAAAGCAGTTCTATGCGCACAATACAAATTAAAAAGATGGAAATACTTAACTTCATGGAAACTGAAAAATCAAATAACAGTCTTTGTTTTTTTTCAGTTGAAAAGCGTGTCTTTTAGAAAAAATTTACCTATGGTAATATTATGATACTTAAAAATAAATAATATGAATAAAAAATTTTGGGGGGCTCTCCTTTTTATGGGGGTGAATGATAGGTTATATTTCCAGATACTTAACAGAGACCAAGGTCTCTACTCTCAAGATACTTATTCTGCCTATCCATCCTACATTTCAATTTCCCATTAATAAAGTTATTCTTCCGAGGACAAAAACTTGTAAATTCAACCATTCGTATACTATCTGAATTTGATAACTCTGTAAAATATATAGTACTTAAAATATTAGTACAAATAAGGATAATAGAGCAGCTTCAGTCATGCTCAAAGATTTGAAAGGAAAGGAAAAGTGGAGAGTCATGTGTTGACAGAAGCTTTAAGGATCATGTGAATGAGGCACTGAAGGGTAGGCCTAGACCAGATAAGGCAGTCATAGAGCTCAGGTTTGTGTGTGTGTGTGTGTGTGTACATAGAACAGAAATGGGAAGTCACTCTGGTTCTACCTTTTTGACCTTTGCCTTCCATTGCCAGATTAGTGAAGCAGCAATCAGAAGCACAAAATAAGAGATGGAAACACTAACCCGTCTCTGCTAAAGAAAATAAGTAAATATCATAAAACACATAGACACACAGAGGGATAAGTGTGGTTGAAATACATTAAATGTGTGCTCTGGAAAAAGACCACCTGAGTCCCAAACTTAGTGACCTTGGTCAAGTACGTAACTGCCTCAGTTTTCTCAGAAGGTCAACCCTTGGTTGACCTCACAGATTGCAAGGACCTTGTCAGTCTGTAATCTCTTATTTTTTATTTTTTACGCCTACAGCACCCGGTCTTCCTAGGTGATCTCCCATTCAAGTACTAACCAGGCCCGACTCTGCTTAGCTTTTGAGATCAGACGGGATTGGGCTTGTTCAGGGTGGCATAGCCGTAGACCTGAAATAAGTATATTTATGTATCTTTATTATTAAGACATTTTCAAAAATAAATGAGCTAATATATTCCAAGTGTTTTCATCTGTGTTTAGCACAAAGTCAGTTAAAAATATTTCTCATTATTAATTTACCTATGACTTGGCCTATCTTTTCTTAATTTTCCAAATATTTTTAAAAGATAATTGATATTCAAACATAAAAAAAGACATCTTTCTCTTGCCTTCTATTCTGATAGAGAATTCACATTACACAAGTGCACTGAGAATTTCCTGTATTGTGGTTTCCGGAACATTTTAGAAGCTAGTGATTTGACTGCTTCTTGTTCATACTATATATTTGTGTCTCACCAATAAATGATTGAAGAACATTGCTTAAATGTACAATTTTCCTTTCCTTTTCCTTTTTACATAACTTTCTGATTTCTAGCCTCCAGGTCAATTCTGAGATCCAACAACATTCTTCTTTAACAAGTCCAGATTGTGCCTTACCCGTATCAACGTTGGGACAACAGTTTTCATGGCAGGTATGTAGGCCTGAGTCATAAAATTAGAAAATAAGAATTAGCAGAATTCTTATTGGCTAAGTTCAGGGAATCGCTTTAAGGAAAGAAATGGAAATTTTTAAGCTACCCATGTATCAGTATTTTCAACTTAATTTGATTTTTCTGACTCTTCATTCTGTAGCTAGAAATGATTTTGTGACACTTTCCCAACAGTTTTAAAGAGTAACTTCTGACAGAGGAAACTAAATTCTGAATGGAAATTGAATTTTCACTCTTAGATTATGAGCATCATAATTCTAGCATAGGAATAGAGAATGCCAAATATTTAAGATGCAGTGCTTCAAAGTGTTATTTAAAAATTTACCATCTTTGTAGTGACATCCCCAAATCACCCTGATTAACAGTCTGACACCATTGTACTGTTGATAATGACAACACTCTTTGGGAGTGTGTTAATGTTAATGTAGAATCTCCTAATGTTAAATTGTATTAGGAGAAGAAGATATAAGCAACTAATTTAGTCATGAGAAAATGTAATGTTCTTATAAAAAAATGGTTATTTATGAATAATTCAATACACTGTGAAATGAATGCAGCTCCTCAAAGTATTACCCAGACATTGGTTGGAGGGGCCCTCTCATCATACCAGGTCCAGATGCTCCTATGTCTTTTCTTCCCTGTTAAAAGCCTCTACAAATTCATGAGCATCTAACCTTTCTCAGAGCAGAGAATGCATTAAGATTAGATGGGGAACACAGTCCCAAGTAGTATTATTGTGACAACGACAGAATATGTTAAATAAAGACTCTAAATCTAGACAAACTTGCATTTAATTTCTGACTTGGGTGCTTGACAAACAACGTTATTAATAAATCCTAAATTTTCTCATTAACATAATGGAATCATACAACTTGTGATTTTTTTTTTGAGAAAATAAAAGTAAATGTTTCTTATGTAAGCCCATAAAAAGAAATTGTTACCTATGATATCTTTTTACTCCAGATCTCTAGGTTTCTTTGTCAAATTAAAAAATAAAGCAATAACAACAATAAAAATAATAACTGTAAATCCGCTTTTCTGAGACAGAGCTGGTAAAGAAAAAAAGGTATGGATAATCTCACTGAAGAATAAAGTATATTTCATAAAAATTTTGGTATTGGATGAAGTTTTGAAGGGAATGGTTTCATTTTCCAATGTTTCGTTGGCAAAATGGTTGGGTTGTCAAATCAAAGAACTTTTTGGATTCTCCCTCTCTCGTTTTTGCTTTTAAAAATTTCAGCTCCAGTGTTTGTCCTTTAAGACATTCCCTGACCTCTCCTTCTCTACAGGCTTTCAGACCACCCCATGGAGGTTGATTTCTGGCATCTTAGGAGTAATGTGCCTTGTGTTGATGGCTACTTTGGGAATGTTGCTGAAATTCTGTAAGTATTGTTAGGCAAGTCCATATAAATAGCAAAACTATGAGGAAACCATTTAATAATAAAGGTTTCATTTATAAAGGTATAATAAATTATTATTTCATAAGCCTGTATCTAATTAATAAATTTCTAATCATTTCCTATAGCAGTCACTAAATCAAGTAGTCAGCCAACACCATCTCCAGAACCCACCCTAGAACCCCAGGAAGGTAGGTTCCATAATTTGGAAAATCTTAATGTTGGTAGAGGATGAAATAGACAGATTTTTGTATTCTTCACACAGAAGCATAATGGAATATTACATATAGTAATACAAGTTTATTTACTAAATCTAGGATAGTCTCATTTCATTGTTCTCTAATGTAAGAATTATTAAATTACATTTATATGTATCATTTATTCATTTAATAAATGTCAGTAGTAGCCCAAAATGACATTTTTCCTGTATAATTGGTCATTTTTAAGTAATGAATAAAAAAGAAATTATAATAAATATTACAGCTAATCCTAATTACCCTTCTGTGATTGCTCATAACTCATACTTTATCTCTTTAACTTCAATTATCTTTCTTCTATGACTCAGAATATAGTGCAGAGATTTCTGCACTTCTGACCCTGCTTATCCATTGTAAGCAAGCTCAAAGACCAGCGTTTTAAATATATTTTTCCAAGTGTGCGCCAAGTTATTCCACCATCTTCTATGATCCTATAGAGTTTATTTATATTTTTTGTTTCCTTACTGTATTCCCAAGTTTCACTGAGATATTTTTAGTGTATAGCATTCTGTAAGTTTAAGGTATACAATGTGTTGATTTGATACACTTGTTTATGGAAATATCATTACCACCATAGCACTGCCTAATACTTCCATCATGTAACTTAACTACTATTTCCTTTTAGTTGTGAGAACATTTAACCTCTTCTATTTTTCAACTTACAGGTGCATAGTACCGTATTATTAACTATAGTCACAGTATATCCTTAGAACTTAATCTTCTAACTGGAAGATTTTTACCTTTTGGTCAACATCTCTCCATTTCCTCCACCTCCCAATTCATGTAAGCACCATTCTACTCTACAACTTTAGCACCACTCATTTGGAAAAAAAATTTAGTACCTGCCATGTGTCATCACTTTTATCACGGAGGATAGTGTATGTTCAAGGCACTATCACTGGTAAACTGAATGATTGAACTGCCAACTAATTGTTTTATTTATACTCATTTTGTAAGTAAAATACCCAAAATATATGTCAGAAATTTTTCATTGTGCCATATTCTTTTCTGACTCAGAAAATATGCTAAAATGCCTTTTCCTCTTTAAATGTCTTTTGCATTTAATTTACTTATATTTACACACCAGAGCTCAGCTTTGGATCACTTCTTCAAAAAAAGAGTTCTTCTCTCCACCCTCTCCCCATCCTACACTCTGATACAGGATGATTTAACACACCGAATTTCTTGTGTATAATTACCCTAATTAGCATTAAATATAATTAACAAAATGATTGGAAATTATATAATTCTGACTCTATCTCTAGAATATAATATCCATTAGGAAAAAGGGTCATGACTACCTCATTCACAATATTATCCTTTGAACTGTTGTCTACGTAGTAGTTATTCAGAGAATATTTGCAGAAAAAATATAAATGATTTTTGAATGAGTAAATAACACTTAAAATTAAATTTCCAATATCATAATTCATGTTTTATTTTTTTCTAAGGCTCTGGCTGCTGTCCTTGTCAAGAAAAGTGGATTGGGTACCAATGCAACTGTTACTTCATTTCTAATGAAACAAAAACTTGGGCAGAAAGCAGGAATTTCTGTGCTTCTCAGAATTCCAGTTTACTTCAGTTGAAAAACAGAGATGAATTGGTATGTATTTAATTCTGATTTCCTACACTTTTTTGAACTTAGACAATATAATGTCTAAGTAATATGAATAATTTGTTTCAAGTTTCTAATGAGTTAGCAACTGGATGGTTACATTAGAACTAATAATGACTTACTAAAACAATAGTTATAAAATCTATATAATATTTCTCAA